TAGCATATCTATTACTCTATTTATTATGTGTTGTGATCAAGAATTAGGATATTTCCCATACGAAATTCGAGAATATTTTGGTTGGGCTTGCATTTTTTATATGACCTCAATATTATGTATCCAATTAGGAAATGATGGCTTTTAATAGTGAAGGTTCCTTCTTAAAAAGTATAAGCAAGTCAGCAGATTAGTAAAATCAATTTATGGAGTATTTTCAAAAAAAGAACAAGTAGCGGCCTCATCAAGCATTTTCTAATGATAATATTTATATCAAATATTGTTAAAGTAAGAAAAATTATGTTATCAATTAATATATCAAATACTTAATTTTATTTTAAATTAATGCATCTATCTTATGGATGCAGAATGATTAACTTATTTGATAATCATATTAGATTTGTTTAATTATTTGAAAACAAAATAATTGACTTTATGCTTTAATAGAAAATAAGATCAGATTTTTTAATATATGATGATGTTGTCCAATATATTTTTAAAAGAGATACTCTTGAAAAATTGAGAGTAAATGAGGGATCATCTGAATACGGGCCTACTCGTTGCCCTTGCGATTAAACATACCTCTTTAGGCGTAGACAGTGACCATCAATTAACCTTCTATACAGCATTCTTAAAGGTAGCCCTATCTGGTGATTGATCTTCTTATCACAGCATTTGCTCAAAGATAATAATAATAATGTTTATAGTAGTGTAATTGATCTATTCCATCTATCAATAAGTGGGAAATGCCTTAGTAAAATCCAATTTCGATTTAGTTTTTAAAAATAAAGCACTACTTAAGCTTTCCAATTTTGTTTAGAAAAGTAAATCATTCGATTTTATTTTTGGAAATATAATATCTATAAAAAATTAGAACAACAAAAGAAAGATTTGAATAAAATAAATGATTTAATAATGTGTCAATTAAGATCTTATTATGCTTCATAATTATGCTAGTTGCTTTTAGATATAATCTTTGTCATTTGATCCTTTTTCTAATGCAGAAAAATAACATTATTTAGCTTCATTTTTGTTCCCTAATTCGAATAGTGAATCAGCTAAATTTTAATTAAGATTAAGTTACCTTTTCGCTTTAATTTTAATGGGTTGATATTAATTGATAGAGCTTAATCATAACATAATATAGCATCTTTAAAATTCTTTAATTAATGTAGTGCAAAGCCTAAATTTTTTCAGAATTTACCTTTATTACACCAGGCAGTATCATATAAAGGATTGATTTAAATTGCTTTATCATAACACTCAATAGCTAATTAGTATTTCTTTAAACTGTCTAATGCTGTACCTAAAAAAAGTTGCTTATAAATTAAATACCCTTCTTTTACCAGGCATTTTCATTTTACGGATTAATTAAAATTACTTAATCGTAACATTAAATAGCCTATTGGTATTTCTTTAGACTCTTTAATGCAAAACCTAAATAAAGATTGTGATAAATTAATTACCCTTGTAATACCAGGCAGTATCATTTTGGGGATCAATTGATATAGCTTTGTCATAACACTCTATAGCCTCTTAGAAATTCTTTAAACTTTGTAATGCCAAACCTAAATAATAATACTTAAATTAATTACCCTTGTTATACCAGGCAGTATCATTTTAAGGATTAATTTAAATTGCTTTTTCGTAACATTCGATAGCTTCTTAGAATTTTTTTAAACGCTCTAATGCAAAACCTAAATAATAAAGCTTATAAATTAAGTACCCTTGTTATACCAGGCATTATCATTTTAAGGATTTATTTAAATTGCTTTATCGTAACACTCAATAGCTTCTTTAAATTTCTATAAATCATTTAATGCTGAACCTAAATAATATAGCTTAAAACTAATTACCCTTGTTATTCCATACAGCATGATATTAGGGGTTAATT